CATACGTCGTTAATAAATGGTTTAACATAATAAATCATTACAAAGTGCACCAAATCGTCCATGAGTTATGAAAAATTCTAACACGATGATTTGGTAAAAGGCTTGAAAAGAAAAAGGCTCGTTAACTTGAATCATCAGAAGACTCGACCTCAGATTTGATTGAATGATGAACTGGTTTTTGAGTAAATAAAACTTCTTCACCAAACTGAGTTCTAATATAATCATCATTAACTATAGTACACGTCATTGGTACGTATCTACTTTTACTAGTAATAACACCTCCGTACTCTAGTCTCTCGTCACCTGGTTTACCACATAATCTTTCTAAATCAGCATCACATCTCTTGACTAACTGTCGAGCATGTCTTCTTCTAAAATCACCATGAGAGAAACAATTCATATTGGCAGGATGGATTGTCCAATAATGACTTTTACCATTGTCACTTCGTCCACATTTAATAAAACATTCATTAAGAGAGAGATTATGTCTGACACTATTCCTCCAACTTCTATCTGACATTTTATAATAGGGGAAATTATTCACAATCCATCTGTATATCTCTGACAGTAACATCTTTTTACTCGACGAACTTTGAATAGCCATAGAAATCAACCCAATATAAGACATGTTAGGTTTTTTTACTGATAATTTTCTTAAACTAGCTGGAATAAAACCAGATCTGGAACCTTCTGGTTTCTTCAGATTTAAAACACCGTCATAATTCTTCTTCATCACCTCTACGTCCATTATTGCTTTACTTTCCATTTTACCCGATAAGGTCTACTCTGTGGTATTCAGCCAATCTTCAGAGAAAGCTTTAATTCAAGTTCAGATTGTATACTAGCCACGATCAGCAGTTTTCGTTACAAGTAAAGTTGGAAAATGCAATTTTAATTATATTTTCAGTTTTCAAGGTAAGTTGTCCTTCAGTTAATGCTTGCAAAGATAAATTGGAAACATAAAACTTAATCGTTTACTTCCAGTTGGTATTACGAGTAAGTTGTCCTCTTAGATCTAGTTTTACGTAGATGATCTGTTCTTTTAGGAGTTAATCCCGACTCTGTCTTCCGATTGCTTCTCAAATCATTTTATACAGCACCTATATTCCACAGTTTGTTTCATTCTCTCTCAGTTTGGGAAGTTACAATCGATTCCCAGGCAGTCAAGAGAAGTAATTGAGGTATATTTAGTGTCAGTATAATGTTTAAAGTTAGTAATTATAATAAATTATAGAGGAATATTAAATATAGTATGTATATCACCTTTAGTTAACTGTTTGATTGACATGTTATTTACACCTTATATCATATCTCTCAAACATCGTGTTATACTCTTAATATTATTATAATTAAGTAATTTATTGTACTGATTAACTCTTGATCTGGTTACACAGGTAATAACCCTGTGGATATAACGGACAGCCGTTAGCTAAGGATTTCGATACACAATCCATATCGATGAAAGAACACTGGCCAGTAAATTCAGCAATGTTTGTGTCATAACGGTTAAATAGGATAGAGTCTTGACTAAGTTATGGAAATTACCATCCAAAAGAAATTTGTTGTTATGTATTAGCCCATTTATCAAAGCAATATTTTTGTCCCGATAGAGGTTAGGAACCTGCGAGACCTACCTATAACCTTTTCTCTGGTGTGATCGCCTCATTCACGTACAGGGTCTTGTACAGAAAAATTGATCGGCTCGATTGTCGTCTCGAAATGCCTCCAGTCGTCCTCTTTTTTACCCAACCAAGTCCCGTACGTTAAAGTAATTATAATGGTATCATTTCCAAGACGCCAACGATTTCGTTGGTCAGAACGTTCAGAAAAATTCCACTTCGCCATCTTTGTAACAAACACCTGTAACTCCAAGGTCTTAATGTATTTCCCTATTCCTTACCTCGGTAGTAAAACACTCTTATGATGATCAATACAGGATGCAATCAACAAATGAAAATATCGAATATATCAATACGAATAGATTGATCCATGTATTATTTAACTCTTAGTGTAACCATAATTTGAATGATGACGGAACCGGAAGTAATACATACAGGAAAGAGAAAGAAAGAGAAATATAAGTTTCTAAAGAGTTGTAAATTGTTACTGAGAACATCAACACCTTGTTCACTTCCGGTCTATATTACGCATCTTTATCTTTACCATCTTGTCAACATGTTTCAATTATTTTATGTAAGAAAGATATAAAAACAATGTTTATACGTTTATGTTATTTTAACATATTCACATAGTTTCTCAAGGAATAACGGTTGAACAGATTGTTATTTTCTAACCAAAGAAAGTATGTGCTGCTAACTGCTAACATTGAGAAGAGTTGTTCTAAAGTAATCATTGAAAAAACAATATGGTACGTATGGGAGAATAGATCAATCCTTAGATTTAGTTTACCAACATCTGTGGCTCGTGCTCTTATTGCAAGTTAAGCAGAATCTAGTAGTCGACATGAGAACTGTCGGAATTTGTTACCTATAGATTGAGTGCAGTTGTAAGCACTGTGTCGATATTTGTATTGACATCCAAAATGGTTATGAAGAAGTATTAGTTACAGAGGTAGGATGATACTATTAAAAGTGATACCAGCCAATAATATATGGACACTGTCTAATATTAAATTCAAACTGTTACTAGAAGTTATGTCCAGGTATATAATGGTATGGTAAATACACCATTATTATAAGTGAAACAGAGATACAATCTAATTTAGATTGACATGACACTAATTATTACAATATTACTGAGTTTATAACACTGTAACACTCTTCCTTATACTAAAGAAAAGGATTGCTGGTCAGAGGAGAGGATGCTGTATATATGTTTGCGTTAAGCTTTATGTGTTAAGATGTGTTAGTGATCTTTGAAAATGATATGGGGAATTATGTTTAAATGTATTAGATTGTGTCTGGTTAACGTAAATTACAGTCTGTTTGTGCTTAAAATATATATTGATGTAGGTTTTAATTTTAATTGGTTTGTACGAGTACTACTGCACCTAAATATAATATAAATTTGGCATCTCTTAACTATGGTAACAATATACGTTGGCGGATTAACACGATACTAATAACCTAAAACAATAGATATCTTGTATTCTATACAATTGTACAATTGGTTATCCAGAAATAATACATGAAAAAAAATTAAATACCATATTTTAATATAAACAACCATATATCGCAAGCATGATTTTTGAAGGTCCCGAAGGATACAGTCCATCAGCTGGTATTTGAACAAACCTCTTGGCGCTGATCTGATTCTTAAGAATGTAATCTATTAGCTCAGTGAAATAGAAGTTCGATAAACATTTCTCAATTAATGAAACAGGATTCTTTATTTAAGTAAAATATATCACTAGTGGCGGTTATTACAAGCATTTTCTCAAACTATCAAATTTGTTTCCCCCGATTTTCCATTAAATAACATGGGTGGCTCGACAGTAGAAAAATAGACAATATAAAAATAAAATGTCAGATTTAAAAATTTGAAATAGAAAACGAAGAATTATTGCCTCAAACATCTTCATAATGTATGAGTTGGCATGTGATATCGTTACATACTTTATAAATTTATTGGCTTGTACAAGTCTACATTGTTTGTTTTGTATCAAATTATGGCAGATAAAAGTTTAAAGGAGAGAGGAACACCTGTTGAGAGAAGACGATCTCTAAATTCCAATTCTAATTAATTCTTACTTCATAGTACACAGTGACATCAAAACAGCTTACTGGCAAATTGAAACATTCACTGAATACTTCGTACTGATACGTGTATAATGGTTCGGTAAAATTCAGAATTCCAGGACTCGGTTTGTAAAGACTTAAAAATCGAAATTAAATTTCCGCCAAAGGTCGTGCACAAATTTGGGATCAAAAGGTTTTACATCAAAAAACGAATATTTTAAAAGCGCTTGTCTTTGGTCAAATCACAATATCTATTTTTTTTATCGCGTGCAGTAATTCTAGTGAGCTTATTTTTTATAATGCTGTCTATCATTTATTTTATCATTAAACATCTTCCCCACCCTTGTCTCTTTCAAATTCAGAAAATGAAAATGTTGTTAAGGTGGCTGCGTGGGAGGATTGGAAACCTCGTGACATTTGGTCAGAACTAGACATAGACTTAGTTTCAAAAGAAAGGTCATAGAAGTTACATAGTTTAATGCTGATGATGGTGAGAAAATCAAAAGAATTTGACAGGATACGTTTCATAGGAGTGGATAGAGGCAGGGGACAAAGAAATTTCTTTACCCACAAAGGTATGCAACGTTACTACCTTGTGCAAAATAATCTGATTTAAAATTACAGCAGGCAATATTTTGTGATATATTTGGATCATAAAAGAACAAAATTAAAGGTTTAAATGATTGTAATCATTTTGAGTTGGACCAAAAAGGTATAGAATTATGTGGCCGGACGCAATTGAATCTTATTTGAATCAACTAATGTTGAGAAAGGTTCTAAAATGAGGATTGTAGCAGCTGTTCGGTCTGCTGTAGGACTAGGAGATGAATTATTTTATAACAATGGGCTGGAGTGTCTGAACAGAAACCAACAACGTTAATAAGGCACGTGAAAGCGTTCTTAAATCATTTAACCAGTTAAACCATGCCTTATGCATCTTATTAGAACTTGTGAAGATCTTCCAAACATTACTGAGAACGTTGAATTAAAAGCATAAACAACAATGACGAAATAAGACTGGACGTAAAATAAAAACTGTCAAAATAATAGTCAAAACGGTCTTTGCTCCACCATCTGTCATCTGTCGTCTGGTCTTGAAACCGAGCAAAGACCATATTAAGTCGAACATTTGTATCAAAATTGTTGCCAATCAAGAAAGATATGTCAAATTAGAAAGTGTTGAAAAATACTTGGTACTCGAGATAACAAGAAACGGAAGTAGAGATCTGAGTTGTTGTGTCAGTGAAATACTGTTTATTACAACATCAGCAACAAATATATATATATTACATTGTTTTAACTAACGGTGAAAATGTTAAACGGTTTGGCTTCCCATTGACATTTTAATCAACTAGAAAAACAAAAGACAATCTTTCTATTCTATGTTCTGAGTGCTGTCGGTGCTATTTCTGTTTCAAGATATTCATTTTTGTGAAAAAATTTCCCTAGTGGATATTCAAGGGGGCTCAGAATTCTACCAGCTAATAGAACAAAAGTATATCAAAAGACATGTCGGAATCAACCAAAGTTCTACAGAATGTACGTACAGAGGCTGAACTGTATCACCATGAAGTTGAAAATATACCCAATATATATGAATATTTTCTGTATGGACTTCCCGGGACGGCCGCTGAGTTCGTGGTGTGTTCCCTGCATACTAATGATTTTAGTAGAGCTGGGATTCCTGCATCTTGGACTTATATAGCTAATAAGTTACTTTACACACACCAACGAATGCCATATCGTCGTCAGATGGGTGTTGTACATCTGACAATCGGGAAATATTAGTCATTCAACTAAGTGCACAATTTATTTTCAAACTACACCTGTATAAAATACACGTGAAATTATATCATAATAATTTTAAATGTCACCGTTACAAATAGCTGATAACTTTCTTAAATTTAGTGTTTAAGTGCAGAGAAAATAAATAAAATGA